ACCCTAGAAACTATGAAACAGATCTGACAAGTCTTTTGGGAAACCTCCTAATTCTCTCCCTAAGAGATTGAAATGTCTGCTGCAAAAGAAGCCTTCTGCAAACTTTCTCTTGAGGAAGCATATTGAAGGTGCATAAACACATTAAAATTCAGTAGGAATCAGTAATGAAATACTGAGTCTCATTAAGAACTACATTAGCCTGTTTTAATTTTCTTAATTGCAGTTAGTAAATGCTGGCTTGCCCTGACCAGGAAAACAGTGTTAAAGAGCAACAAGTGTATGGAGGGAGAATTAGAGCAAGCCAGAAGGAAAGGCTTTTGATGGAGTAGCTGTGTATATGAATTTCTCTTGTTTAATTAGTGGTTTCCATGGCTTAGGGCAATGCTTCCTAACCTTTTCCTCAGTTTTGACCCCATTTAAACATTGGAAATTTTTTGCAACCTCAAAATAATCCAGCTGGATCAGTGCCCCCTACCCCCATGAGCCAGAGCAGAGCCCATGGGGTGGGGGGGTGGAGATGCGGGTTGTGGCCTCAGGGCTCCCTGCCCTGCTGCCCTCCCCCCGGGGCCCTTTACAGCTTAGCAGGCAGGACCCAGCACAGGAGGGCAAAGCTGGATGGGGAGGCTCGGTGCCACTGCCAGGAGCCCCATGCTGGCTACACTGCCATGGCAAAACTCTCAGCGCTGCCCCACTCCTTCCCTCCCTCACGATGGGGACCTCAGTCTGCCCTCTGCCCCCCACCATATACTTACCTAGAGGGAACTGCAGGAGCTGCTCTCCAGGCTGTCTGGCTGCTACATACATGTCTGCATATGTACATGCACATGGCACCCCTTGCCTGATCACCCTCCTCCCACTCCCCCCACCTGCAAGGGGAACATGTCATTTCCTGCTTTTTCATGTGATTTTCATCATAATCAGTCAACACTGTTGAGTGCCTTTGTGACCCCATTTCCTATCATTGCGACCCCAAATGGGGTCATGACCCCAAGGTTGGGAACCACTGATGTAGGGGGAGATGTAACCTGGTGTTGGAGGCTATATCTAATGAGGGACAGGAAAAGCTCTTCAGGTCTTTTTTTTTTTTTTTTTTGTCCACTGCG